TGCAGCTATTGTTATGAGCCAAAAGAAGCAGTGCAGATCCTTAATGCCAAGATAAAAAAATACATATGGAAATTTCTGTGATGTCTTCCTTACGCATAAATCTAGCGAAGCCATGTAAAGCTAAACATAACCCGCATTGCGCAGAAGTCGCCATTCAGGATGTATCGAATCCGGGGATGTTACGTGCATTTGTGAGTTATCCGTACACCAACCAAATTTATTGACAGCTTTCACAAATCATCTGAGTTGTTCTTAACACGCGCTCGGGTGGGGGTCAAATCGACCCCCGGGGGCTTTTCCGGAATGGTTTCCGAACGGCGCGGCACAGCCGCGCCAAATTTTGCATACCTGTAGATAACTGAACAGGAAATAGTTTGACATAAACATTCAGATGTACCTTGTAAGATCGCTGACCTATGGCAAATTAAAGTCAGGTCATGGTTTCAGCGAAGGCAATTTCTAGGGAATAATTCAATCTGATACAACCACGGAGTGTTTGAGGAAGCCAGACATCTCTGAGATCCTTTTTTAGGCACCATAAATATTGAATGAGCAAATAGCGTTGACCTAAGGTCAGGTATGAAACTCAGATCAAGGTCAAGACCAACCTGATTTATTACTCTAGGGCTTGCCGAATGGCATAGTTTGTGGTGCTCATTTCGAATTTATTAACAGCAGGAACCGCATTATACATCTTCAGTTGACTTCTTAGAGGTCAGAACAGGCCATTGGCCTAAGATGACACGGGTCGACATCTTGTTCTAAGAACATACTGCCTAGCGCAATCTTTGTCGCTTATTTAAATGCAAAACTCAGAGCAGTCTTGCATGATTTTGGTCACCATGACCCTCAGAAGGTCAAACAAGGTCACTGAGCTAAAATGGGCTTATGAGCTTTTCCTTAGAAACCGTCGCCTAGGTTTTGGGGGCACTTCGGAAACCAACCTGGAATTGGACCTTGCTTGACCTTATTTGACCTAAAGGTCATGCCTTATGAGGCTCAAACTTTGACCTAAGTGAGTTCACGTACGGTTCAAGACACCCTGTAAATTTGGTTTTTCTAGCTTTCTTAGTTCCCGAGATCTCAGAGGGGTCAAACTGACCCCCACCCGAGCGAAGGGTACCTACCCAGCCACCCGGGGGCGCGTTAATGAACTTTCTGCAGATGCTGCGAGTGTGACCCTAACAGTGCCGCTCTAACGCTGTTGCAATTAATTCAGGTGTGCAAAAGATTGTTGGCCAAAACCACAGAAACTAGTAAAAGAGGATTAAAAATCCAACCTCAAAATAAGCACCTCAATACCCCCCCCCCCCCCCCACACACACACTTTCTTAGATCTACCCATACCTATCGACTTCAGCGGTTCCCGGATTTCACATTTCAGGGGCGTTTTACACACCAAGTCCTTTGATATCGCACAGGTCCTCGGTATTTATTCACCTCGCCAAAGCCATTGCTGTAGCTTTTCAGGAAACACTCGACTATCAAGTGATATTTGAGTACCTCTGCAGATAGCATGTACATCACCAAGCGGCAAACTCCTTGTCGTCTGGTGGTCCTCGCTTGGCCGACGTATGTCGACGTCCTCGGGTTTGACGGCTGGCAAGTATGGGTGTGTGTGTGTGTTCCTGTACAGGTTCGGGAAGTACGCGCGCGCACACACACACACACACACACACGCACGTGCGCGCGCGTACGTGCAGTGCGACGGCGCGTCTTCGTGCTGGGCTCGGGAGCCGAGTGTCGGCGTCCGTGTGCTGAGCTCGGGTGTCCGCTGGTCCGCAGGCGCTGCCAGCGCGGCGACGGTCGCGGCCGCCGCCGTCCAGTAACCGCCCGGCCCAGACTGACGGCGGCACCCGAAGGCGGCGACGGCCAGTCTCAGGAAACGCCGAGCCCAGCGGTCACCAGTGGCCGTCGCGCGTTCTAGGGTACACCCACACTGCGACGTTTGGGGACAACTGCCGAATTTTGCCAGAAAGATGCACGAATTTACGATTTATGACTGGCAGTCAATGCCACATATTTTGGAGCAAACAAGTTCCGTCGATGGCACCTACGGCATAACAAGCGGCCGACCGTGATACGAGTTCCTTTTCACGTGCGGTGACTAGCAGCCTCCTTTCTTGCTTTTGAATGTCCTGGTGAGTTTACTTATCCACCGGACACGTGCCGGATATTCTTCCGGAGACACGGTGACCGAGGCCTCCTGGTGGGTCAGGGGGCCGCAGAAGGAGGCATCATGTATCGGTCCGCTCCCTGACACGGAAGGCCCTCCGACAATGGTGATGTTTGACTGATATGAATACCCTCATGCACTCAAGGCAACACTATCAACGGAACCGCCGAGTTATATTTCAGGTCCTTGCTCTGCAAACCAAGCCCCTTAAAACGATTCCCAGGCAACCGTTCGGGCCACATCTACCGCCAGTGGGGCCCATGATTTCCGTCCCGACTGGGGAGGGTGCGTGCCCAGCGACTTGCGTTGATCCTCCATTCGTGTGGATTCCCTACACCAACGCCCTGCTTCTGCTGCCAGTCTGTAACACCGTCGAACACTTCTAACAAGCTTGTATTACCTCGACGTATGCACGTAAAGATGGTCCGAAGCGCGCGCTGTGACAGTGATTCATTTCTTTCGGCAGGCGACCACAACGATGGAACGCCAGCGCCAACTATCGAGCAGGGAGCAAGTTTCGTTCGTCAGTCTCACCTGGTGACGACGCTCTGCTCTGGCTGCACAGCGCTGCTATGCTAGCCACGTGCGAACCCGCTGGCGCAGCCAGCCTTGGTAAGACACGGAGGGATACAGAGCCGACAAACGGCACCGTTGTGGCAGTTGGCCAGTTGAGTGCAAATGCCCGCTATGAAATATAAGTATAATCGTTAAAATATAAAGATGGTTCGGCTTGACCCACTCGTGCGAATCTCGCTCCCCGATGGAAGTAGCCGTGACCAGCTCTCCACACATACCACACGGCGTGCCGCCCTTGCGTATATGAACGGGCAACGTTTGCTCACGTCGGTGAACTGACGCCAGCCAATGTGGCGTCTGCATGTGATTGTATGTGTTATCGAGGATGCCTATGCTATCATTCACATTGTTTGCGTGATCACGACGGTTTGTTAGAGCAGAGATGCTCAGCTGTTGAAGCGTCCGGCCGGACAGAACGCGGGAAGAGCAGGGTCTTCTTCACCCGCCCGTTCTCCGGCCTGAGCCATTCCCACGGCTCACAACCAGCACAAACGCTCCGCACGTTTGTCACCACTTTGGCAGAGTCTTCCCCACAAGGTCCCCCTGGCAACACGACATTCACATCCGCACAGTAAAGGCGTGCTCGCCTACCGTGGTACGGCTCCCCGCACAGATATTCTCCACAGCAACGTCAGACGCTCAACAGCTGACCAGCCAGGAGCAGCAGGCAGTCAGCAGCTGGCGAGTCAGGAGCAGCAGGCAGTCAGCAGCTGACGACTCAGGAGCAGCAGGCAGTCAGCAGCTGACGAGTCGGGAGCAGCAAGCAGGCAGCAGCTGACGAATCAGGAGCAGCAGGCAGTCAGCAGCTGACGACTCAGGAGCAGCAAGCAGTCAGAAGCTGACGAGTCAGGAGCAGCAGGCAGTCAGCAGCCGACGAGTCAGGAGCAGCACGCAGGTCAGCAGCTGACAAGTCAGGAGCAGCAGGCAGTCAGCAGCCGACCAGTCAGGAGCAGCAGGCAGTCAGCAGCCGACGAGTCAGGAGCGGCAGGCAGTCAGCAGCTGACGGGTCAGGAGCAGCAGGCAGTCAGCAGCTGACGAGTCAGGAGCAGCAGACCGTCAGCAGCTGAGAAGCCAGGAGCGGTGTCCCGTGGTCGGCCCCCGACCGGCCAGCCGACACAACACCCACAGATGTGGTACGTCACCCCTCAAATACCATGCCGCAGATGAATGCCCTGGCCACCATTTCTATCCAACGACTGAACTGTGACCGCGGCACAGAGGGCTAGCAAGGAATTTCACAGCTGTCAGGACTTCAACCGTAAAGGATGCCAATGCTTCATAACTAGCGCAATCCAGCCAGGCTAAACAGCACGCCACTGCCGGGACGCGCAGCACCAGGCGCGGCGGGCCAGACGCGTGGTGCCAGGTGCGGTGGGCCGGACATGTGGTGCCAGGTGCGGTGGGTCGGACGCGCAGCACCAGGCGCGGCGGGCCAGACGCGTGGTGCCAGGTGCGGTGGGCCGGACATGTGGTGCCAGGTGCGGTGGGTCGGACGCGCAGCACCAGGCGCGGCGGGCCAGACGCGTGGTGCCAGGTGCGGTGGGCCGGACACGTGGTGCCAGGTGCAGTGGTCCGGACGCTGCTTGACGCCGTGTGCAGTCACTGCACGGAAGTGCGGTGGGGCCACTGCACAGCAAATGTAATGCTCCCTTCTCACGCAGCTAACATGGAAAAAGTTCTTAGAAAACCAAGCAGCAGAATGCACGGGAGGTGGACATCCGCCCATGCGACACGCCTCTGCGTTCTCGGGCAGGACGTGTAACAATAACTGCACAGACAGGGGACGTAACGCGGTCCTTTTTTAGCGCATGCCGCCAGGCCTAATATCACCTTCACTGCGCTCAGTTCCAATAAAACACAACACGTCGAGAAAAAAGGAAACAGCGTCGTCCGCACCGCCACCGTCGCCGCCCGCGGCCGCTGTGGCCAACTGCTGGCTGGCACGGTGGGTGCCACCACTGGGGCTGACAATGCTGATGCTTGTTTCATGAAATGCAACTGGCAAACAAAAACGCTGTTCGTTGCTAGCCCAACAACATGAGCAGAGATGTACTTTCGTTTGAATTACGTGACCGAGCGAACACCAGACGCTACAGCAGATTGCACTAGCCAAAGTCCAAGTGCAGAAATAACGAGAAGGAAAACTGCTAATCAATCTAGTTATGTGTTCAGTCAACATCACCTCGACAGGGGTTATCCGTTGCATACGAAAAGACTAACGGTAGGAACGGCAATATTGTGCTTCACATCTAGATAATGTATTGAAACAATACCTGCATACAAAAATACAAATACAACATATACTGAAAGGCAATAAGTGCCAACAGGCATTCTTAGAATAACTGCAATGGCGCAAATCCCGCTGGGTCTATCCCTCGCCGCCAAAAAGGACACGGCTATACTGTGCCTTGCTGGCTGAGACACAGAGTGGAAGACAGCAATTGCCTTGTCAATGATTCGTCTTTGTGAACAGACGCTTATCACTGGTGCTTATAGACGCATTTTACTTTATTTAGATGTGTTTAGAGTAAGTCATCAGCAGGCTGCATGATCAGGACGCTGCGTCTGCCGGTGCCGTAGGTCTGAGGGCGGCGTCAGCCGCCAGCTACTGCAAGTACAGGCACCGACTGAGGCTCCGCGGGCCAGTCTGGGCCGTGGCGGAGCCGGACCTCCGGGTCCTGCCCAGCAGCGCCGCCTCCTGCTGGTCCAGCCGGACGCCGGGCCTCTGGGTAGGTATGCCCCGCCGTTTGAAGGCACCCAGAAACGCCGGGACCGCCACATGTGCCGCGGATATGTCTCCGCCACCGCCGGGATCAGCTGGCGACACAGCCACCACCGCCGGGATCAGCTGGCGACACAGCCACCACCGCCGGGATCAGCTGGCGACACAGCCACCACCGCCGGGATCAGCTGGCGACACAGCCGCCACCGCCGGGATCAGCTGGCGACACAGCCACCACCGCCGGGATCAGCTGGCGACACAGGCGCCACCGCCGGGATCAGCTGGCGACACAGGCGCCACCGCCGAGATCAGCTGGCGACACAGACGCCACCGCCGGGATCAGCTGGCGACACAGGCGCCACCGCCGGGATCAGCGGGCGACACAGGCGCCACCGCCGGGATCAGCTGGCGACACAGGCGCCACCGCCGGGATCAGCTGGCGACACAGGCGCCACCGCCGGGATCAGCGGGCGACACAGGCGCCACCGCCGGGATCAGCTGGCGACACAGGCGCCACCGCCGGGATAAGCTGGCGACACAGGCGCCATCACCGGGATCAGCTGCTGCACCTGTGCGACACGGGACGGCTTCGGCACGCTCTCGAGACCCGGAGCGCCCGCAGCTGCGGGCCACAGACGGACGTGACGCTGTGCTCGCTGCACGCCAGTGATCTGCACTGGTCAGCACATGGTCAGGGCCTGAGCCCGCCTCCAAACGGCGCCAGCAGCGACGATATGGTAATAGTTATAAATTAACGTGACAAATGTATCAAATGGTACCCTTCTTCCCACATAGCCCTCTGACTCACGATACAACATCACCCCGCCTGCCTGACAAGGTGATGTCACATCCTCTACCTGTAGAGGCAGCGCAATCGCCACCTAGACCCAGTCCCAGGGCCGAGAGGTCGCGTCCTCCTCTTCTTCTCTTTCTTGTGCCAACAGATAACCCTGAACGGAAGCCTGAGACACTTACCCTGCTATCCCGGCGTGTTGTCGCAGACATCAGCATGTGCACACCAGCCTTGGCTCTTGGCTACCTTGGATTGACGCATTGAAGAAGACGTAGAGATCATGGCTGGCCAAGTGTGCACTTACCCCGGCACGTGCTCCCTCTGACTCCAGCGTCGTACCGCACACCGTTGTCGGTCCAGGTCCGGGACGTTCTCATCCGACAGATAAGTATATATAGAACGGAGGCGACCGGGGCGTGCGGTCCTGCAGGCATGCATGGTGTTCCGCACAAAACCATTTCGGCGACAGACAGGGCAGACAGTAGAGAGATCGACGCAAAACGAATGACGCGCAACAGTCAGTCAGACATCGGCCAGTCAGCCTGCTCACCCTGGCCTCGGGCACCGCCGTGACAGCGATACCAGTCATGTGGCTCGGGCGGCCGGTGCACAGCACCATCAGCACGGTCATCATGGCGTCACGCCTTTGGCGGCCTCGGCCGGCGGCGGTGGCACCCCGCCGACCGGCGGCACGCCGTGATGGCGGCGACACATTGCCACTGTCGGCCAAAAGACAGCTGATTAAACACAAGACTGGTACGATGGCATCCAACCACGGACACGCCAGCACAATGCACGCCGAACAATGACAGCAGCTGGGCTAAGACGGGACACGGACGGTACCGACACATATATCACGAGACAAGCGCCATACATGAACATTACTCCCAACCGCACAGCGGCGAGCAATCTCTCACGCTGATGGAGCGGTGCTGCAGATCGACCCCGATGACCCGGGCCGCCTCCGCCGCTCCAGTCAGCACGTTGCAGTGGCCGCTGCCAGGCTGCCAGCCGCTCCAGCATGGCCTGTGAATTGCGTGTCATCAGTGAACGGTGACGGTGGTGCGACAGACTGCACAATCGGCACGCCAGCTGCTGATGGCACTCACAGGCTTGCGCGGCAGCTACGCCTGGAGGCCCAGGCTGTCGTTCGATGGCTGCGAAGGTTATGAGTCGGGACAGACACAGCATGGCCCACTTCAGCGTCCCGGCTGTCATGACGTGAGCTCGTTGTTGCCTCTGGAGCCAGCCGTCGGCCTCCTCCATGGCCAGCTGGAGGTCAGCGAGGGCCGCCATGATGTGAGACATCATGATGTGCTCAGTACTGCGGCCTTGCAGCAGCTCCGGCAGCAGAAGACGTACCTGCAGACAGACGCTGCATTACGCACTGCAATTTTACGACAGCTGGCCTCCAGCACAGCTCTGAACCTCACTGCATGGGACGGACAAGGCGGGCGTAAAGAACACAAGATGGCACCCGACACACAAGACATGACAGCAAGCAACTGCAAACAGACCATAAATAATAAATATAGATAAACAAGTTAAAAATATGAACCAATAACTTGATAATATACAAAATACACACACACACACGCACACACACACACACACACACACACACACACACACACACACACACACACACACACACACACACACACACACACACACACACACACACACACACACACACACACACACACACACACACACACACACACACACACACACACACACACACACACACACACACACACACACACACACACACACACACACACACACACACACACACACACACACACACACACACACACACACACACACACACACACACACACACACACACACACACACACACACACACACACACACACATATATATATATATATATATATATATGTATAATAAATAATACATGAATAAATAACTTGAGAACAACGCAATAACCGGATAGTGAATGCCACCACAAACTACAACATCACGGCCCAATATACAAAAACACTGCAACAAAGGGTCAAAAGAAAAACACTGCAACAAAGGGTCAAAAGAAACACACAGCAACATCCGGGTTCCACAAACTCGCGCCATTTAATAGGCCACTTTTCGGCAGGCACGACTACTACCAGTGCATCACCCCGTCCGCTAGTGGCAATTTCTGACACGGCCATCTGGGAGTGACCCTGACACATACAAGCGTTCCATGACGTAATGAAACATTAACGTATTGAGGAGATAATTTACTAATAGGCGACATTTCTAGAGCGGTGTTTTGCACCTAAAGCCTACTGATGGTCACTAATGAGTTTATTTCATCGTATCGGATGCTTGTCCTTGCCTCAACATCTTCGAATGTAGACAATTCCTTTCAGGAAAAAGAACAGCAGAGCGAGCCTGATTTTTTCAACATTAGAAACATGCCTAAAAAACTCGCTACTCCACAAGCTTCATAACACGATGACCTTACCATGATGACCTTCATAACATGACCTTACCATGATGACCACCTAACACTTCATGACCTGACCATGATGACCTTCATAACACGATGGCACTCACAGGCTTGCGCGGCAGCCACGCCTGGGGGCCCAGGCTGTCGTTCGATGGCTGCGAAGGTTATGAGTCGGGACAGGCACCGGATGGCCGACTTCAGGGTTCCGGCTGTCATGACGTGAGCTCGTTGCTGCCTCTGGAGCCAGCCGTCGGCCTCCTCCATGGCCAGCTGGAGGTCAGCGAGGGCCGCCATGATGTGAGACATCATGATGTGCTCAGTACTGCGGCCTTGCAGCAGCTCCGGCAGCAGAAGACGGATCTGCAGACAGAGGCTGCATTACGCACTGCAATTACATTACAGCTGGCCTGCAGCATAGCTCTGAACGTCGCTGCATGGGACGGACAAGGCGGTCTGAAATAGCATAAGATGACACACGGTACACGGGAGATGACAGCAAGGAAATGGAAACAGACCGGCGTCAGTGTCACTTACCCTCCCCCCGCATGTGCCGCTGCACCTTTGTGAGGTTGCAGAAGCCTCCTTGGACCACTCGCAAGAATGCTGTGCAGGTCACGAGGATGGTCTCCAAGCCAGCTACCTGCTTTGGAGACTGAGGTGGCGGCCCGCGGTCGTTCCGCTCCGCGTTGGTGGAAGCCTGCCGGGACTGCGAACGGACGGTTTACAATTACACACTTTCCACGCTGAAAGCCGGCAACACGAGGTGCTGAAACAGTGACACAAACAACAACGCTGGAAAATAGTTCCCGCCTACCTGGTACGCACCTGAAGTGTAGCCGCAAGTGTCAGGTCAGGTTACCCACGCTGGCGGGGAACTGGTGCTGCCCGCCGGTGACCCCGAACGGGCAGCGCCAGCGGGCCCGTATACGCTTGGGCCCTGGTTGGGCTGTCAGTCTTGACGGCTCGCAGGGGCTTGGCCTCCGCCACCGCGTGCGCGGCCAGCTGGAAAGATAACCCCGACAGCTGAGCTGTGGACATGCGTGAAGCATTGACGGCAGCCGCACGCACAGGCGAGTGAAGACACGCAAGAGCGGCACACAGCATGCAGTCGGTCGCCTGCCTGCGGGAGAGCCATTCTAATTTGCCGCGTCAGGTTGGTTAGGTGTTTCCTGACACGGCTGCGGGCGACACGGGTGCCGGTTCGTTGTCGGAGCGGCGCTGAGAAGCCGGCCCTGCCGCGGCTTGCGTGCTGCAACACAGAATTATGCGTTTGAGGACGAGGGCGAGGACGCCAAGTCCGGGTCAGCGCACTGCGGCATGGCTGTTCCCAAACAGCGCGCCGCGTTGCTCCACGAAGAGCCCGGCCGGGCGACGGAGCCGGCCCAGGGCTGCGGGCTGGCGCCGCACGGGCAACGGCTACGGCTATGATGTGGCGTGCGGCTTGGATGGGACATCAGCCCCGCTGCGGCCTCCCGCCCCGTCTGGGGTGGTCCCGAGACCGGGCCCGCTGGGCCTGATCGCGGGGCGGGGAGCGTTCCGACGACCAGCGCCCTTGCGGCCTCCACTCGCCTCGTCCACGTCCCTGGAATGAAGTCCTACAAGCTAGCAACAAATCAGTGCAATCGGCCCGGCTCGGCCAGCAACACAGTCTTGCGGCCAGCTCGACCACAAGACCAGCAATTTGAAGCAGTAGGTTACGCTGCTACACGGACGCCACGGACGCCGGAGACGTAGTAGGATGACTGCCTGAAGTAAATGCATGCATTTACTTAATACCTTTATCACCAGCTAATACACATACGGCCCACAAAGCGCATACACAAATAACGGCGCCCAAACCGTCGTAAGATGATGGCCGGCACACGACAAGGCACAGAATCATCAGACACGCTCACCGTGGTCCATAAGCCCGTGCGGCGGACTGGCGGCGAGCGGCGAGCTGGATGCCGGCGACGGCGGCGGCTCGTACACACCCTTAGTGTCCAGGTTCTTCTTCTGTTCCGGAGCCCGCAGTTTTTCTCTCCCCGACATTTTTTTCTTTTCCTCCTTAGTTGTCTACTCGTGGCTGACGCGTGCAGCCGGCCCTAAAGAAGTGGGCCGTCGCGAGGATGCAGGATGAAGCAATAAAGCATAGCAGGGTAAGATGAAGCGTCCAACAGCGCCGGCCTGTTGTGCCTGCGGACTTAACCGTGCCGCGCGCCACGCGTCCGGCTAATCAGAAGTCGAGCCGAGTCGGATTGTGTTTTTTGACGCACGTTCATGCTTGACACTTGAGATTATGAGATGAAGCGTAATATGTCCCGATTGCGCCAGCCAGCGTCAATAAGGACACCGTATGCATTACTCACGTTATCGCCCCATGTATCATGATGACATGTCACTGCTGGGTGAAAACTTTGGTCATGATCGCAACAAGACGTAAAAACAAAGTACCAATGGGCACATGCCAGGCATTCAATAGCCTCACCCGATACTGCGCCATACCACGTGACGGGTACCACGTGACCAGGCCATGCCCACAAGTGGCGCGCGGTAGCCTGATTTTAACATGCCCCCGGCTGACATGTTGGTTGCCCTCGCTCAGGTGGGGCAGTGTTAATTTGACCCTCTAAGGTCTCAGGAACTAAGGCAGTTAAAGACATCAAATTCACAGGGTGTGTTGACCTGTACGTGAACTCAGTTAGACCAAAGTTTGAGGTTCCTAAGTCGCAGCCTTCGGGTCAAACAGGGTCGAACAAGGTGAGATCCAAGTTGGTCTCCGAAGCAACCCAGACCAAGGATACCTGATCTAGGCAAAAGGTCACACGCTCATTTGGGGTCAGTGACCTAGATTGATCTTTCGAAGGTCATGCTGACTGAAATCATACAAGAGCGGCGCTGAGAAGCCGGCCCCGCCGCGGCTTGCGTGCTGTAACACATAATGATGCGCCTGAGGGTGAGGGCGAGGACGTCAGGTCCGGGTCAGCGTCCGCCGGCGGCGGCGCCTGACTTTCGGCCAGAGCTCCCTCTGTGGGCAGAATTAAAGGCTGAGGAGTCACGTACATCGACAGGAAATAGGCACCGTGGACATAAAGCACGCTATAATGTAGGGCAATGACTACAACACATCACAAGCACAGTGTAGTCAAGTGAACACTTCCTATTGTCAACACGTTTGCTAACAGCCTATTGCATACGCAACATGTTGATATACACCAAAGATCACAAACACATAAGAGCAATAACAGCCGCATATTCAATCCTACAATAGTCGGCCAGGAAAATTACAGCCAACAGAACCATGCGGCACGCTTGCCTTACCCCGTGGGCGAGGAGTCGTCGAGGGGGCGGCTGGCGGCGGCCACTCGTCAGCAGCCGGCGCCCTATGTGCAAACAGCCAGGCTTGTGAAACACTTGAGGATTAAGCACAACAGCCGACACCGGACAGCCAATAACTCCTCAACTGGATAACATGTGATGTGATGTGATGAGTGTCGGCCATCGCTACATTTGTTGTCAGAATCAAAGGCTGACTAGTCACATACATAAACGGGAAAAAAACACCTGAGACATGA